ATGCCCAAGAACTTTTCTTACATCAAATTGTATGACTGGAAATATCTGTTTCTTGTAATTTGACCTGAAATGTATTGGCAATTTTATCACAAAATGTCCCCATGTTGAGTCAGTGTCCTCATGTCAGGCCCTTTTTTTTAATCAATTTTTGTGGGAAAATAAGCGTCCCTATGTCAAATTGTCTGCAGGTTGAGGTGTCCGCATGTCGGGGGTCTCACTGTACATTACTGCCTATATATTTGCAGGAGGTCCGCGCTGAAGCCGGACTTGAACGGCAACAACAACAACAACTCGGAGGCCCTGGCCATCCTGGACGGCGCCGATTTGCCGACCCGCGACCGGGAACTGCTCAAGCAGATGTTCCAAGAAGAACGGCGCCGGCTGCAGGAGGAGATGGAGCGGAGGGAAGAGTCGCTCATGGCCAAGATCCGGAGTCAGGAGCAGGAGATCCGGCGTCTGCACAACAACTCTGCGCCGGCGACTGCGTTGGCGGGGCCAGCTGGGCCAGCAGGCAGCAGCAGCAGTCTGGCCGCGGGTGCGGGCGCTAATCACCACAGGTCAACCGGGGCCATCAGCAGCAACAATAACAATACTAAGCGTGCCAGTCCTACAGCGACTCTGGGGCATGCTGATGGTGGTGGTGGCAGGATGAAGCCCAAGGCTGGCAAGAGGGCCTCTGACCCGACCTCGTCTGCTGCTGTTGTGAGGAGTCATGCTTATATACTGTACATTACTGCATGTATATTCATGGGTTGGTTCAGTTGGTGCCTTTTTTTTTGCATGGCTACAGCTTAATTTGCCACCATGCCATTGTAAGTGAAAAGTAATAATAATAATAATAATTGGTCTACTTTTTTTTTGGTCTACCTTGTACAAGGGTTGGTTTGTAAAAGATGATAAATTGCCACTTGCCATCGTTGGAGGCAGATTCAAATTTTTCTTTTGTTCTTCATTCTTGTCAAATAAATGTTTCATTGACTATCCAGCTACAGAAGGAAAAAAGAAAAAGACCTGAATCACAGTGAATACCCTCCACTCTGGAGTGAAGTTTACAATGTAACCCACAAAAGTCATAGAGCATGCAAGTGAGCATTCAGCTGCTCTTGATTAATTAAACTTCACTTCAATGTAGGGGATTCACTGTGATCCAGGTTTTTTTCTGGTTTCCTTCTGTTGTTGAGTAATTGATAACAAATGTATTAGACACCAATAAAGGATTAAAAAGCAGAAGGAAAAATAGCATCTGCCTCCAATGATGGCAAGTGGCAGTTCATCATATTTAACAAACCAAGCCTTGTACAATGTGGAACACAAGAAACAAGTGAACCATTTTTTTTTCTTACAATGGCTTGGTGACAAGTTGAGCTGTGGCCATGAAAAAAGCATCAACTGAAAGTATGTTCAATTCCCTTTCAAGTGGCATGTAGTTTCATGGTCCCAAAGAGTGCCACAGCATGGTAACAAGAACCATTTGAATGAAAATCTTGCCACAAAAAAAAAACAAAAAAAGTTGTCAGGAAACTTCTTCCACAAAACTGGTGTTCTCCAGATTTCTTGTTTTTATGGAAATAAATGGGGTGCAGTGCCAGTAATTAAACTTCATGCTGCCTTCAGAAGGGTGCACACATTCCCCAAATTCAGGAGGAGGGTGTGAGAAGTCAGAAAATAAATTTTAAGAAAATTTTGATGGATGTTGCCCTGCTCCCCATGCACCCTTGCTGGGTGCCAGCCTCACAGCTCATGTGACCCTCTGCATGAATTTTTTTTCTGGATTAATCATATCAATCACAATAGTTGGGATTAATAAGTGAAAGATTTGGAGCAATTCAGAAAATAATCTGCATGCAAGGGCTCATGGGAGCTATGAGGCTGACACCCAAAAAGCTTTTATTAGGAGTGTTGGGGCAACATACCACCTGCTCAATTTTTTTTTTAACTAATGTTTCATCTTCTCCTATACCATTTTTCAAATGTTTACACCCTCTTGAAGACAGCATAAAGTTTTCTGGTTAAATTACTTGTTCTGCGCCCTATTTATTCCATAAAAACAGCTCAGGAGAACAGGAGCTTTGTGGAAGGAGTCATCCAAGAGTTTTTTTTTTTAGCAAGTTTTCATTCAATTGGTTATTTTGAGCAAGAAACTACATGCCATTTGAAAGGGAATTGAACAATCTTCCATTTGGTGCTTTCTTTTTGTTGCTGTAGCTCAATTGGCTACTGAGCTTTTAGAAACAAAAAATTGGCTCACTTTTTTGGTCCACCCTGTATGCTGTTATTATTTTTAAAATGTAAAATCTGTTGCATCTGTTGAAATTTTCACCATTTTTTAATGCTTTTCTTGTAATAACTGAAAGGCGCAATGGCTTTGTGTAGAAGTTGTAATTGTAAGGTGTTAATTTCTAATTTGTTCCACTCCATTGCAGAGAGTAATGTTTCTGCATTCAAAATCACTTCCTCATCAGCTTAAAGATCCAACTCAATTTCACAATTTTGTTTTGGTTGGATAATGAATGAAGATTGGAAAATTACTGGCTCAATATGTAATAGCATGTATGTGTAATAGCATCTTATATTTACACATATCTGATGTGACATCAAGAAGAAGGAGAAAAGAGGAAATCGTGCTTCAAATCAATTCTTTACCCTTGTAACTGTGTTGATTTTTCCATCCACTGATTGCTATGCATTGATTTTGTCAGACTGCAGCAGCGACATCTCATCTACTACATCCACCAACAGGAGGAGGAGGAGGAGCAAGTAGCAGTGCTGGCAAGTTGAATCCTGCCACCAGGAGAAACACTTACAGGCCACCATTGCCTGGCAAGAATAAATCCTCCTCTGGAGGTTCTGTGGTCAGTGTTCCTGCAGCTACAAAACCCCGTGTATGGATGTCCTTTTCTGTTCATTCATCCCCACTGTTTTCTTCAACTTTTTTTTTTGCTCTTTTTTGTGCAAATTCTGTGGTAACTCCATTTAGGATTTTTGTTTTGGTTTTTTTTTCATTGGAAGGTGATTGAATGATGAACTAGCAAAATAAAATGCCAGGATAGATTCTATGATGAATTTAAAAGAGGACAGTCCTTTAGTGTACTTTTGAAATACTGTATTTTGCTTACACTTGAGCCTTGAGCAACAAGCCTAATTACTTCAAGTTTTTCTTTCTTGAGATATTAATTGTCTCATTCACAATTTCCTTTGGGTTATTACTGTATGTGAAATCAGTTGATTGGTTTCAGCACAAAATTGCATTAGTGGTGAAATAAAATGAAGAAGAGCAGCCACTAACTATTCTAAGATTAAAATTACTGCAGCAGCATTCAGAAGTAAAAAAAAAAAAAGGGATTCAAATGCCATCGAAATTATAATTCTATTTGTTTTGGCATTTGGAAATGCAAAGAGGAATGCACCATTTTTGAATGCCCTTCAATTGTTTTGCTTTTTTTCATGATTTTGAGCCCAAAAAAAGTGTTACTTCATTTGTTCCACAAAAACTAAGGATGTTGACAAAGTAAGGAATGTTTTTTGCTCAAGTTTGATTTTCTTCACTTGTTCTAGCCCTAAAAAAATTATGCATCTTATGTTTGCCAGTTTTGGTCTGTTCTATGGTAATTTTGAGGGAATCCGTTTTATTCTTTTGTGCATGGTGGCATGTTTGTATATATTTTTGTGTGTATATGTGAGCTTTTGATATTAATTTCCGAGGGCCTATGTACTGTATGGACTTGACAACCATCCCCTTATTCTTCTCGGTTTTTTTTCTTCTTTTTTTTATATAAAACTGCAGCAAGCCGCCACAACAGCAACCACTAATAAGCAACAACAACAACAGCAGCAGCAACCCGTGGAAAGGAAACCCCCGCCCGAGGGCATGGGCTCTTGTAGCGTGTGCGGCAGGAACTTCAACGTGGACCGACTGCCGAAACACGAGGAGATTTGCGCCAAGACGAGCAGCAAAGTGCGGAAAAAGTACGACGCGGCCAAGATGCGGACGCAGGGCCTGGAAGGCGAGTTGATGCCGGGCCCCTCCTCCAATAAGCGGGCTGTGATGCAGGGAGGCGGCAACAAAAGGGGCGGCGGTGGTGGTGGCAAAGCAGCCGCCGCCTCTTCTTCTTCTTCTTCCCCTCAGGTGCTTATACAGTATACGGGTGGTGCCTCGCAATTTGACATCCCGCAATATGACTGTCCCAAAATTCGACGGTCAAATTTGCAGGGAGGTTGACTCGCAATTCGACTCTTGCCCCGCAATTCAACCTGCTTTTGCCATTTTTTTTTGCATTGATGTTTCATTTTTTATTTTATGGAGTGTCTTGCAATTTAATTGGTGTGCAATTCAACCCTAGTTTGGCAATGGATTAGGGTCAGATTGCAAGGTACCACCTGAAAAGTTTAGTGCTGATAATAATTCAAACTTTTCCTACAAGTCAAAAATAATTTGAAAATAAGGAGTGAAAATAATTTTACTTGTCGGATCAGTTGGAATTATTGTCAGGGCTCAACTTTACAGGTGGTACCTTGCAATTTGACCCTAATCCATTGCCAGATTGGGGTTAATTGAGCCCTGACAATAATTCCAACCTTTCCTACAAGTAAAATTATTTCAACTCATTAATTTCAATCATTTTCAAATTACTTTTGACTTGTAGGAAACGTTTAAATTATTATCAGGGCTCAACTGTACAGGTGGTACCTTGCCATCTGACTCTAATCCATGGCCAAACCAGGGTTGAATTGCAAAGCATAGCTTCTCAGGCTGAGAAACTATGCATTGAAAACCTCTCCAACACAAAGGCTTTTCCTCTCAAGCCTACATTATGCTTGATTTTTCTGGAGGCATTGTTTTGGCGGCTATTATTTTCTTGACACAGGAAAGAGAAAAGCAATAAAAATGTGAGTTGATACATTTTGAAAGGCAATGAAAGACCAATTGGGGCAAATGAACCTGCTTGTCTCCAACTCAGCATTGGCCTGTCAACTCATTTAAAAAGGCCTAGAATATCACCACCACTTACAATTTCCCGCAATTCTTCTGTCTTTTGCACAACAACAAAATACATGTTTCATAACTCAAAGCATCTCTTATGCAATTTTTTTGCTGGTCCCTTGAAATTTTACTTGAAGAGGTTTGACTACCCAAGTGGTAAAATTGGTGCACACTGGGGATATGCTTGTAATTCTACACAGTGACCCTGCTGTGCACCTGAAGTGTACCAAAGTTCTTCTGTTGCACATGCATACCCCTAATGTGCACCAATTGTGTGTTCAAACCAGGGTTACTCAGGGTCACATATGTAAACAAATAAATTACACAAATGTTACAGTTGGTGCATTTGTGTGATACTCCTGATATGTCACATTGGTGCACCAATTGTAGCCCTGGAATGGTAGCAAAATTTCCTCTACAGGAGTGCACACTTGTAACCCCAGAATATCCCATATGCACTAGTACCCTGGTGTGCACCTACTGTGGGGTCACAGCAAAAATAGCTCCCCACTTGGATAGCTGTGACAAAAGTGTATAATGCATATTGCATATATAGTCACTGTACTGCTGTGCATAAAGTCCTGGGTGCCTGTGTATGACATAAATAATGCTTGATGTTTCAGAGGCATTTTTATAGGGAGTTATTGTACCCAATTGTGATGCGTGGTAGTATGTTGATGACCAATTGAAGTTTATATATATGTTCTCAAGGGGGTTTAATTGATGAGCTGGTGTGAATTATGAATTTGTGAATTTTGACAGGGGAACAAGAACAAGAAGGACTGGAGGGCCAAGCGGGAAGAGTTCCTGGAGGCCATGCGGGAGGCCAAGAAGGTGCAGAAGCACTTGGCGGCCGGCGGGAAGCTGGAGGACTTGCCGCCGCCCAAGCCCATGGACACCTCCGACTACATCCCGTGTCCGCACTGCGGCCGCAAGTTCGGCGAAGCCGCCGCCGACCGACACATTTCCAAGTGTGCCAATATCAAGTCCAACAAACCCTCGCGTTGATTGCCTGACTTTTGATTTGACCGATTGATTCATTGATTGATTAACCCCCGCGCCGATATGATCATCCCACCGACACACCTTTTTAATTATACTGCCCTCACCTGTGCGAAAAGAAAAGCAACAGCAGCAGGGGGATGAGGATTCAAGCATAATTATATAGATGCTGCTGCTGAGTATTTGGCCCCTTGCGGATTTTCCTTCCTATTTTTCTTTTTTGATGGAAAACGCGGACCCTATTTAAATAAATATGACTTCAGTGATGGCCGAATGGCCCAGATTTTAGTCGTCAGCTCAAATTTCCGAAAATTAAATGATCGGACATTACAGAGGCTATGCAGTACTTATTGATTAAGTGCAGACCATTCCATTGGTTGGTTATTTCATCATGATTACGGTGTGTTATACACCTAGTGGTGAATAGGCGGACTGAGCGAGTGAGTATTCATGTCGCTTCAGTATAGATGTCGCCGCGGGATGAGGGACGACGCCTTTAAGCTTGTCCGGTGTGTAGGTGGAGGCTTTCCTAATGAACTAACCTTGAATGTCCTCCTATCCGTAATGGACTTTCGATTTCGAGTTGAACCCGAACCTTTACCCAATTATCTGTTCACTGTTTGAAAATCAAGTCTATGTTTGGTTGCATCTTCGGAATTATTATACGGACACTGTTCATGAAGAAGGTATCTTAATAGTACTTTAGGCAAATGTTTGATTGCCAGCGGAAAAGTTAACGCAAGTTTCGAAGCTTTCTTCTGGAATTTTATCCCTGTATTCTGCCGGAGTGTCCATTCCTTCCAAAGTCACTGTTGGAGAAAGAAAAAAAAAACCATCTTCTTGAAACCCCATATTATAGGACAGAAATACAGTTATAAATTTGAAGAAGAAAAAATGTTAAAACCTCGCTCGCTTTTCAAGATAAGTTGCTCATCAGGAAGTAGATGGATCATCTCATTAACATCATCGAACCTATTATGAACACCGAAATTAACCCTGACCCACCCCTTTTTCACCCCCGTGTTCTTGGGACAAAAATCGGTGAAAATGGAGAATTTGAATGCGGAAAGAAGGGGCATAACACGCGAAGGAAAGTCAAGCGTAACACGCACTTACAAACATGGATTTCGTTTGTTGTGATCACAGAAAAAGGGTTGCTGACATTTAAAAAAAAAAAAAAAGGTTGAAATTTTGAACCAAGGTTGATTGATTGTGATCGGAAAGAGATGTTTGGTTTTCTTTTCCCTCGTGTGCTAACAAGAGAAACTGGATGTTTTACGCGCATTCGGAAGAAAGCTACCAGGGTTGTTACGTGCCCAACGAATCAAATAAAAAGCATTTTTCGACAAAAAAAACTCTGTTCATTTATCCAGAGACAAAATAACAAAGACGGATTTTCACTCCTTCGTTTCAGCAATCGATAAGTATTTCTTCTCTCCGTTGCCGACTTGACAAAATACAATGCATCACTCAAACAATCAATCACAAACCGTGAAACCAACAAGGCAAAAAAGAGTGAACAAGGTTAGCTCGTCGAAGAAATACCGTGATACAAAAAGAAATCGGAATGGTAACCTCAACAAATACAAGCCCCCTCCCCGGAAAAAAAAAATGATAAAGAGTAGGAAGAACCAGATTCTGGTAACTTGGATCACATCTACCGGGAATGTGTCATCTCAGAAAGGAAAAAAAAATAAAAAAAATCACTCACGCGAGCAGCAGACGGACTCGAACAAACAAGCAAAAAAATATACGCCTCAGTTCATCATCACATCACTCCACTCCAGTCCCCGACACGAAAAGGCATCGATAAAACCGCTCAGCAGTCAAAAAATCGACCTACTCTCTTCTCCCCCTCTTTCCGGCGAGAAAAAGAGGGGAAAACCACGTCAGGCTAGCAATCAATCAATCAAAAAATGTGTTTTGTTGGAATACACTTCCGCTTTCTTCCCCCTTTCTCTTTTTCCAAAAGCCAACGGGAAAAAAAGGTTTTCATATATCTTTTCCAGCAGTACATACCCTAGAAAACAGGGCTTACGCGTGAGTCCTTGGTGCGCCGCGAAAACGGGCGACACCTGGCGGAAAAATAATAAAATAACAGTCCTTCCATTGTGGACGGCACTGTCATTTTTCTATCATTATCATCATCATGCTCCTCTCACTATTGTCTCCGCAAGCAATCCAATCTTTCAAATCAACCTTGCGCTTGCGCACGAAACAAAACGAAAATTTCTCGGCATTTCAACGTCTCCAACCTCACTTTCAGGCAGAGGTCGCTCGAATCTCTCCCTCTCGCAAACCACCTGCACTTTAGGCAATTCAATCCTCCAGGAAATGCAATGAAATGCACTAATACAGTACCACGTATGGGTATTTCTATCTAGCGGCCAGGTTTCGAGTGCAATCATGAGATTTGGACATCCGACTTTTGAGATGGGATAACTGTACAGTACAGTACTTTCAAAACAGAAACACGGCATTTCTTGTTCAAATATCAGCAATTGCGACAAACTACGCTTTTTGAATGGAAGCAGCTGACGGTGGAGAATGTGGGGGTTCTCCAAAGACAACATCGGGTCAAGGAAGCAAGCAAGCTAATCAAGTACGATACAACATCACTCTTCAGAGATTCCCATCCACATACACACAGGATTCCAAACTTTTCTTCGTGATTTCCATACATCCTCCACATTCCTCTCTTTCAGCTTCTTTTTCTTTTCCTTTTCCTCTTTTTTTTTTGGCACGCAGTTGAGAAGCAGAAGAACGAGACGGACTTTAGTTGAGGTTGAGGGACGACACGCCGGCGCAGAGACGCAGGATGTAGGCGCAGATCTTCTCGGGCGACGTTTCGTTGGGACAGGCCCGCATGGCTGCGCCCACTTGCTCTTCCGGAAACAGGTGCGACAAGTGGTAGTAGATCTTGAAGCGACACTGCTCCAGTTCCTGCTCCTGGCTCGTCGGCTCACTGGCCTATCAAACACAAACACACACGAGTTCAAGCAAAATTTTAATCAAGGCGGAAGAAACAATGCTTTGCAAAGTAACGTGGCTGAAATTTCCTTTGAAAACACCGCATTTCAATTTGACTGTTCCTGAGATTATTGGTACAGTAGTACAGTACAGTATTATTATTGAATCAATTTAAATACGAGTTAAATCGATTGGAAAACTGTATTTCCTCAAAGAAAGGATTTACTCGTTGAGAAGATTTTCGAAGCTGTCCAAAACTTTATGCATCTAATGCACCCTTTTCTTTTCAAGAAATTATTCATTATGATAAATGTCATTTTTTTTCCTCCGCCTTACAATAATTTAAATACATTTTAATTTTGTTGAAAAATGCAAACCATTTTGACCGTTTTTTCAGTTTGACCAGGAAACACGCTTTAGAAAGGAAATAATGTACTGTACAGTAGACCTTTCGTTAAGAAACTTGATGGATTCCAGAAAAAATTTTCTCGTCCAAATTTGATTTTTCCATGAGATTCAATGGAATGGCAAATAATTCATTCCTGGCGCCCAAAAAACAGTAGAAGGTTTAATGGAAAACATATTTAAGACAAACATCCAATCAAAATGAGTTCTTGTGACATGCTGTGTATGCCCACAACGTTTTTCTTAGGGTTGAATGGAAGTGTGACTAATGATAACGAAGCCTAAAAAAGCTTAACATCCAGAAAAGTAAAATTCACATATGATTAGCATGATAATTTTCACCAGAAAATGAAATGTTGATTTTATATTGCTGCAACTAAATAAAACATTCAGCAGTTTATCAGTGGAAAAAAAACTAGAAATAATCTGCTAGAAGTGCCGTTGTCCACTGCTTCTTACAAATGGATATCATTTTTTTTTTCAATTCATTCTGCTCAAACCATAGAACATCCATCCATGACACACACTAATTTACTCACTCAAGGTTGAAAAAACTCTTTGAAATGTTGTGTAAGCCTTTTGTGGGCCAAATGATTGTTCTGCTTGATCCATTGGAACTGCGATTAGATTGTAAGTTTGTAACCTACACTCAAGTACCACAATCAAATTCATAAAGTTTGTCTCAAAACAAAAGCTTGTTGACTGAAAAGTTTGCTAACTGAGGCGTTTCTTAACCAAGGGTCCACTGTACTGTACAGTACTAGAATTTTAATTAGTCCTCCCAATTCCACGAAGAAACTTTGCTGCTTCAAACCCCCCTGGGCATCCAACATTTACCGCATTTCTTCCTTCTTCACCCACAGTCAAATAAAGAAATAAAACGAGGAAGAAGGGGGAAAGCAACACAGCATGGAAAACGCACTTGTTGCTCCTGTCGACGGGGCGGGGATATCGGGCCAAACTTGCAGACGCCGTTGACGGGCGGGACTGGGACGGATTCGGCGTCCGCCAAGTCGAGTCGCGAGTCAGACGTGGAATTCCTCGGGCCCAGACTCAACAAGCCTCCTCCTCCTCCTGCTCCTCCAAGTCCAAGTCCAATTCCAGCACCGACCATAGTCGTAATGGGACGCGAGTCCGGCGCCGAAGCGATCCTCGACACCTGATGGTGGTGCTGATGAAACACCTGACTCAACATGGGGGTCGGCGACAAGGGCGGCTGTTTCTGCTGTTGTTGTTGTTGCGGGAGTCCCGGAAACTTGTAGCCCGGCGGCGGCGTGTTCACGTAAAAGTTGGGGTCGTCCACGACGAGCGGCGGCGGTGGCGGCGGTAGTCCAGCTCCACCTGCAGCGCAACGGGAATCAACCAAATGTCACTTTTTGGTCCAACTTCGAGGGACCCAGCAAAAATAAAGAGTAGACGAAACAACCATTTTTTGGGGGGAAAGAAAGAACTGGCAGGAAATTGTAATCGGTGATATTCTGTCCTTTAATTGCTTTGTAAATGAGTTGACAGGATGCGGAATTCGGGAGACAAAGGCCCATTTGCCCAATTAGTCTTTCACCTCCTTTCAAAACACATCAAGTTACATTTACAGTATATTGCTTTTCTCTTTCCTGTGTCAAGAAAATAATGACCAAGATGGCCTCCAGAAAATTCAAGTCATGAAGGATCAACTGCATTGTACTATTCTACGATTTCGTTGATTAATTGGTGTAAATTTTTTTCAGAGCCAAGATGAGTTGCCAGAGATTATTTATGTAAAAGTGAGACCCCCAGATGCGGACATAATTGGTGCATCAAAAGTGTCCCCAAGCAGAAATTTTCCTAAGTTGAGTCTCATTTTCCCTCAGACTAACATTATATAATTTTTAATTACTGTTTCATGTACAAAATACTCACCATAATTCCATGAAAATAAAAATGTTCTCCCAATTTAAACTGATTCCAATCAATATATTTCAGCACATTTGGGGAATTGAATTCTGATACCCCTGTAGAGTACATGGAAATGATGGCATTCTCTGTAAAAATAGCATTCAAGTGAAAAAGAGAGAAGGAAGTTCCTCTCTGCCGGAGGTAATTTTCATAAATTAGCTAAATGGATGGTAAATTGGTGAGAGAAATGCCCATGACCTTTTCTTACATAAATTTTTGGGTTGGAAATATCTGTTTCTTGTAATTTGNTAAATTTTTGGGTTGGAAATATCTGTTTCTTGTAATTTGGCCTGAAATGTATTTGCAGTTTTGTCACAAAATGTCCCTATGTTGAGTCAGTGTCCTCATGTTGGGCCCATTTTATTAATTTTTTATTATAAAATAAGTGTCCCTATGTCGAATTGTCCGCAGGTTGACGAGTCCGCAAGTGGGGGTCTCACTGTACTTCACGCAAAGATGGCTTGAATGTGACTCGGCGAAAAAGAACCCAGTTGATTTAGATGTTTGCATGCTCACCAGCAGCAGCAGCACCGGATCGCATCTGCAAAAGCCTCGGGTCAAACTCCGGGTTCAGCGTTAGTTGCCGCTGCAATTTTCGGTGACCGTACGCAGGCGCTTGAGGGTCAGATAATCTGCAATAAACATTACAATAAGAGACTTTGAAAATCAGCAAACGTCCCGTGACAAAATGCAATCTCTATTATTTGACGCTTCAGCCATTTAGTTTAATGCAAGTTAACAGCACGTTCATCTGCAATTTTCAATCCCCAGCAAAGAGGAACTCGCGCGTTGAAAAAAGAATAAATCTCGAGGACCCGAGTCAAAGTCCGCGGAATTTAAAGAATGCTTTGAATTGCCCCAAGCGTATCATTTTTTTCATATAGGCACAAGATTTCTTCCGAAAAGCGTCGTCAATATAATCAAGATCAATCTTTTCAGAGGGAAGATTCAAACTTTTCTAGCACTATTACAGTGCCACGAACATCCCTGCTGGAACAAACCTCCTTTTTCTATTAAATTCCTCAAGAGAAACTTTGATTCGGTAAGAAATGCCTCTTCATGGATGAAAAACGGTCAAAAATTGAAGATACGACTGACCGCAAAAACAACAAGAAAAGCCACACAATTAGGCTTCTGTTAAAATGTCTGCCATTCCTCACCTGGGTCCGACGGGTCTCGGCCCGTGCAACCCTCCAGTCAAGGACACGTCAAACTGGTCTCCAAAGCTTTCTGCTCGAGCCCCAGACACTTATGCTCACCAGCAGCAGCAGCACCGGATCGCATCTGCAAAAGCCTCGGGTCAAACTCCGGGTTCAGCGTTAGTTGCCGCTGCAATTTTCGGTGACCGTACGCAGGCGCTTGAGGGTCAGATAATCTGAAATAAACATTACAATAAGAGACTTTAAAAATCAGCAAACGTCCCGTGACAAAATGCAATCTCTATTATTTGACGCTTCAGCCATTTAGTTTATTGCAAGTTAACAGCACGTTCATCTGCAATTTTCAATCCCCAGCAAAGAGGAACTCGCGCGTTGAAAAATGAATAAATCTCGAGGACCCGAGTCAAAGTCCGCGGAATTTAAAGAATGCTTTGAATTGCCCCAAGCGTATCATTTTCTTCATAAAGGCACAAGATTTCTTCCGAAAAGCGTCGTCAATATAATCAAGATCAATCTTTTCAGAGGGAAGATTCAAACTTTTCTAGCACTATTACAGTGCCACGAACATCACTGCTGGAACAAACCTCCTTTTTCTATTAAATTCCTCAAGAGAAACTTTGATACGGTAAGAAATGCCTCTTCATGGATGAAAAACGGTCAAAAATTGAAGATACGACTAACCGCAAAAACAACAAGAAAAGCCACGCAATTAGGCTTCTGTTAAAATGTCTGCCATTCCTCACCTGGGTCCGACGGGTCTCGGCCCGTGCAACCCTCCAGTCAAGGACACGTCAAACTGGTCTCCAAAGCTTTCTGCTCGAGCCCCAGACACTGTTCTCGTCAACGGCATCTTCCTTCCGCCTTGCAGACCCTGCCTACTGTTGCTGTTGCCGTTGCTGTTACTACTGTTGCTGCCGCTGCTGTTGCTGCTGCTACCACCAACACATTCCTCCGATTTTTGTGACTTCGTCGGCTGCTTTCCCGACGCACCAACTGCAGTATCAACAAACAAAAGAAGGACAAAAGACACGTCAGTTTCGTCAAACTTCTCGAAAAGGTCAGCTCTGTGTACAACTGGTGCAGGGTGACATTGAAAAAAATTCATAGAATAATGTACAGTACTGCATCGCAAAACTGAATGAATAGAAGTGCTTTTCTTTTCCATTAAACAAAGAGAAATGCCATACAGAAGTTTGTTGAATAAATTAAATTCGTTAATTTAATTTAACATGAACCAATTAAATTCGTTAAACAAGGGTCAACTGTACAGTACAGTATGTACTCTCCCTTTTGTATTCAAGCAGCATGAAGTTTAGATACAAGGGATTAAACATTACTGCACAAGAATATACTGTATACTGTAATCATGTTTTTTTAAAAACCGCCATCAAATTATAACACCCAACAGTATAATGTAACATCCAAAATATAATGCAGTATATTTAAGCAAAAGCTGAATCGGTTGCAACAATTTCCAGTACACAGAGTCTAAACAAATGCTAATTTCTAAACAGCTCTGACATTGTTACCTGCTGTTACCATGTCAAATAGAAAAAAGAGTTGCCTCATAATTCATTGAACATTTCTCTGCACAGCATTTGTATTTTCAGTTCAAAGAACTTGTGGTCTCAAGTCCCAGCAGAAAGCCCACAGAGCACATGTTGAAAAAAATAATAATCTCGTATTAACAAACTTACTGCTAAATTGAAGGGTAACTTGAAGCAGAGGACTTAGTAAATTACAGTACAGTAGTGAATCTAAGCAGTGTAATTCCAGTTTCAAGGATCAACAAAGGACACGGAACCGGATAGATGGTAAACACAAACCCGGAGAGATGTCGCCGCCACTGCCGCGCATTCCAGCTGGCCTAGCCATGGTCATTTGCAAGTGCTGCTGCTGCTTCATCTTGATCTCCAACAGCCGCTTCTGCGCCTTCTCCATCAGCTTCTCGGTGACGGTCTTGTGCGGGAGGTTGCCGCGTTCCGGGTGCAGGAACTTGCACTTGTTGCCATACGTACACTTTTTGCCGTAGGGACACAGTGGCGGCAAATCCCCGCCGCCCAGCGTCACGGGCGTCGACACGGATCCCCGCAGCGGCGCGTGCGGCTTCTTCAGGAAGCTGGCCAACGTCGGGCCGTTCCTGCCCAACGGATCGTCCGGCGGCATGAACCTGAACAACCACGACAAACGCAATTCAATTTTTCAATTGTCCTTGGCAAAAAAAAAACTAGAGTGATGAAAAAAATGCATCCTCCCCGTGTATTTTCATTTACGACACTCGACCTGGCTAAAATGTTTATTAGTACATTATATTACAGTATTACTGTAGTATAAAGTATATTTTCACTAGTGTAAAGTATATTTTATATAAAAACATATTATTATACTAATTATTTTAAAATATACTTCATAGTACTTTATACTAATAAAAATATACGTTATACTGATATAACGTATATTTTTGTTAGTACATTATAAAGTATATTTTTATTAGTATAAAGTATTTTTCATAAGTATAAAGTGTATTCTTATTAGTATGAAGAATATTCTTATTATTATAAAGTATATTTTTATTATTCTAAAGTCTATTTTTATTAGTACTGCATACAGTACATTTGTATTAGTACAAAGTACAGTTTATTTTTATGAGTATGTACTGTATATTGTTATCCTTATTGTGAGATTTCAATAGAAGAAACCGTTCAAGATTTCAAAAATGTCTTTTTGCAAATTCCCAAACCTTTTCTCCTGCATCTTTTCACAAGGATAAACTTTCATCAAGAAGCTTCAGTTCTTATGGCCACGGTTGATTTGTTAGTGAAACGAGATTTCTTGTTCGAGAGTGTGAATATACTGTATTTCAGATACAGTATACGCAACAGAAACCAGACCAACATTGAGTGAGGAGAAAGAATGTGCATGCACAGTTTAATAGATTTGGGGCCTTTCGCAAAAATGCGCAACAATTAAAATGTGGACGATTGCTGTGAAAAGGGGATTGACTGGTAACCGCGTAAAGGCAAGCTTTGATCCCTTGGTCATCCCCAAGAGTTTTCAACGACACCGTCGACACGTAATTCCTTTTTTTTTCTCCCCACACCGTTCAGAAATCCTCACCTATCGTTGACAAAGGAGTACATGAGGATCCGCTCCTCGACGACCCGCTTGTAGTCGGGACTCTCGGAGGCCAGGTCCCGGTAGTTGTCGTTGCTCACCACGATGCCGTCCGTCGCGACGGCCAGGTTCAGGATATACCGATCGTCGTAGCACACGAGCCGTCGTCCAGACACGAGCCGCGACGGCGTAAACACCAACGACCGCTCCTTCTCCAGCTCCAACAATACGTCTTGATCTACAATCAATCAATCAATCGTTCACATTTCAACGTTTATTTTTATTCTATAACAATAGTAATTCTGGCTTATGCTGAATTTCTTGTTACTGATACTTTTGTTTTCAATGTCAGGGAAAGAAGAGGGTGTGTACGCATACACATCAGTTGTGCAATTGTACAATGTGGTATGTATTTTCTCTTATTTTGGTATACAAACATACAGTATCACTTAAATACTGTTCAGTAGACGGATTTCAATCAAACTCGAATAAACCGCATCAGAATTCAGGCGTCGTGTAGTCAATAAGAAAAGAGAGAACGCGAAGTTTTAAGAAGAACAGATCGGCATCAAAAGGATAAGAACCTACAGTATTTCTGCACGAAGAATACTGTATAATGCTTCCGGAATCGAGATAATCTAGTCTATTGGTCTTACATTACATCTCTTATTGTTCATAAAACCAAGAATTTTTAGGACGGGATTCCGACAAAGCTTTCAAGACTATCGCGCCAAAACTCCGAAGATGAGCCATACATTAATTTTTTTTCCACAATTTCCAAGACAAAAAAAATAAAGATTGGAGTGTGAAATGAAAAACGGGGTGAGAGCTGAAAACAAACGCTGCAGAACCTTTGATCGGTGCTTCGGGTTTCGACGACTCCTTCCGCCATTTCGGCACAAAGACCGTGATGTCCTGATGGCCTCTGGCACGGAACCAGTCCACAGCCAAGCGGATCCCCCGACACGAGAAAACCTCCTTGTTCCCATGACTACGACAAATAAAAAAATACACTTCAGTAAACAACATTGAAAATTGACTCCATAAAGACAAATAGAAGATGATTTACAGAGGCTTCACCACAGTATCCGGAAATCAAGACACTCGCTGTATTACTTCACGAGATTTGAGAATGATATCTTCGAAACAAAAATACAATTCTCAAATGTATTATCATGTTTACAATCAACGATATAAACCAGCAAGGTTTAAAAAAAAAAATTTCTTGAAATTTCAGTGTTTCAAACACGCTAAATAATTTTGAAACTTCTGAAGATATTCATCCATATTACTCGACATCGGATACTGTACAGTCAACCCTCGATTTAATGCCACTTTAATGCCGCATATTGCTGCAAATTTCCCTCCATCGTGTTCTCAAGGGAAAATCCCGATTCGGCGCCAATTCACTTAAAATGCCACGAAAAATGTCTAGCCCTGAATGAATGAAAAATAGGCGAAACTCAGATGCAGTAAATTAAGGCATACTTATACGGACATCATTTGCTTTATCAATGAGAATCACATGCCCGTGCTCAAGAAAACTTTTACATTTTAATTGAATTTTGCATTCACATGTCGTAGGGCTGATTTTATTTGGATGTCCTCAAGAGCACCTCGATAACTGGAAAAGTACTTTCAAATAACAATTGAAAATATCTCCAACTGATCTTGAAATTGTGCATTTTCATTGAAGGGTTGATATAAAAGTGCAAAAAACAAGTGCCACTCTTTTACTTGTGCCAAAAATCGAATAATGTACTGTATACTCTGTACCATTACTATACATAATTGAAATGCAGTAAAAACACTTCATACGAGCCTCGACATAATTTCTGCGGCTTTCTCTCTCATAAAACACTCAATGGCTGAACAATTCTGCAAAATTACATATTCCGCATCACATAATCCGTCAACAAAAATGTTCCTCTGACACAAAACCGACAATTTAGAGCCACAAAATGTGCCACGACAAATGATGGCACTGAATCGGTTTTTTTTCCTGCTCACGCAAAAACAACAACAATATGATGAAAAAAAAAGAAGAAACGACGGAGACACCTCATGGCGACGTTGCTGCCGTCGATGACCACGTGTCGGAGCAACGAGTCCTTCGATGACGATGACGACGACGAAGACGGCAACACGCCGGCCCTCAGGACCGCTTC